AATAATAAAAAATATACATTTATGATACTACTCATTATTCTTTGATTTACTGATTTTTAATGGAAATTTTAATTCATCATAACAATCAAACTTTTATTCATTAACTAACATAATACAAACTATTGAATGACAGTTTTTGATTAAATTTATGAAAAGGTTAGATCAAAGAATGAATTGTAGTTAATTAAATGTTTTAGTTTGTTAAAATAAAAAAGTTTGTTTCTCTGATGAGATCTATAATTTATAAAAGACATTTGATCGACGCTACAATGACCTTGAGAGTGTTCATCTAAGAACTCGGATCAAATGAGGTTTATAAACCTGCGGGAAGAATTCCAATAATGATTTGCAGTTAATGACTAGAGTTAGGAATTCGATTTTAGGGTTTACATCACGAACTGATATCAGGTATAATGTCAAAACTATATTTAGCCAAATGGATGAATGAATTCCGCGCCAAAATCCTAAACCTGTTATCTTAAATCTGATTGGTTCATCCATAAATTAGAATTTCGCCAGTTTTATTTGTTCATTATGATTCAAAGATATGATGTACGTTACAAGACTGGAACAATAAAAGTTCTATTCTATATAGGGGCTTCGTAAGTCAGGAGATATCTTAAACTATGATGAATCAGCAGTTCGTTACGCTCAAGTAATGAACATTTTCACAATTGTCCCTCTTCGTGCAAAATGTTCAACATTTCATGAATATTTTGAAAGAGTATAAGATAAATAAACTCAAAATGTTTCAGAGAAAATGTTATTGACATTGGTTTCCATATTGATTGGATAGAGTATACCTTCGTATTGTTGTACGTAATTCTTCTCTTCAAGCCCAATGTTTAATGTGTCTTTCTTGAAACAATTTTTCAACTCTATAGTTCAAGAAAAATTTCAAAACCTTCTTATGCTTATTGTGTTATTTAATTATAACGCTTAAATCACTTTACTTCTTCAAACAATCCATCAATGTTCATTGGATCCTAGTTATGAACCTTGAAAATTAAACACACAATGTTTTGTTCAACAAAACTTGAATATTTAAATTTTATATCTTTACAAAGTCACAAAAATAAAACAAATAAAACAATTAATATACCAATATTGGTAGTTGAGATCATGAGTTAATTGAAGTTAGACCACCATGGAAAACCTGGAAGCACTGGACGAACCTGGATTTGAATCTCTCGGGGTGGGATCATGGATAAACACCGCAAAGGAGTCCCAGTTCTTCCAGGTTTTCCATGGTGGTCTAACTTCAAATGACTTATGATCTCACCTATTAAGATTACCATAATGTCCAAGAAACATCTGATACCACTCAATATATGCTTAATAGTGACTGGCTTCAAAAGGTATTTATTGGAGATCTGGTGAGAAGCAGTGACCAGTGGAGCTCAACCGTGTTTGTTGTAAGATAGTAACTCATTGAAGATAATAAAGAATATGTCACTCAGTTTTGCGAATTAGTTGATGTTGAACATTAACACCGTTAAATGTCAGCTCTGTGGTCTATAGATTAGGTGTTCGCGTGCGGGACAGATGAGTCCTAAGTTCGAATCCCCCGAGGCGAGATCATGAATACGCATTGTTGAGAAGTCCCATACTAGGATCAGACGGACATCTAATTCTTCCAGGTTTTCCATGATGATCTAGCTTTAAATGACTCATGATTTCAACTATTAAAATTACTATAATCTCCACACAAAAACCCCTTCTGATAGTAATATACTATTTATAGTATCATTCAATATTAAATTATATATCGTCTGTTTGAAAATCATTAAAAGACTTTAATTATACGAATCCTTTCTCCTTTTATTTCCCTTTTATTCTTTACACTCCATTTAAACTTTATATCAATTTGTGAAATCAGTGAAAATTCTCTGATTGAAAAACATTTTTTTTCACCGATTAATCAATTTTCTATTCATTCATTCATTAATACATATAATCACTTAAATGATTTTTTTTCTTTTGTTGTTGTTGTTGTTGGGATGGTGGTGGTGTTGTTGTTTTGATATGGGATAAATTTTTCAAACAAAAAAAAGAAGAAGAACGGAATTGAACTAGAACTGATGAAAACATGCAATTTCTTATCATTTATTCCATATAGAATCTAAGATACACATGTTACCATGATAGAAACACACGTGCATACACACGCACACACACACACGTATATACATTTACACCTAGGGACAAATAAGGATAGTTTATTGCTAACCCTCTTCTTTTTTCTTTTTCTTTTAAATCCTTAATTGTTTTCAGTTTTATTTTTATAATAAAAAAAATAATAAAATGGTTTTATTGTTTACTCAGAGCGACAAAAAAATTAAAATAAACACCAACCTGGTAATTTTTAGATTCATGTTTAGTTAAATAATTAAATTGGTATCTTAGAGTTTTGTCGCATTTTTTAACCAAAAGAAAAAACAACTTAAAATAAACTTTTGTAGAAAAATACATGAAAATTTATCATTTGAAGAAGGGAAAAGAGTTGTCATCGACTGATTGATGTTAGACATTAACACCAATGGACGCTAGCTAAGTGGTCCAGTAGGTTAAGAGTTCACTTGCGAGACCGAAAGCCCTGGGTTCGAATCCCGAGAGTGGGATCGTAGATGCGCACTGCTAAGAAGTCACCCAATAAGACGAAAAGGCCGTCCAGTACTTCCAGGTTTCCAAAGGTGGTCTAACATCAATCGTTTCATGATCTCAATCAAAAGCTTGATAATCTCCACAACGTCAATACTGATACTTTGTTAGCTGTTTGTTGTTGTTGTTGTTGATTGCGTTGTATTACTTGAACTAGATGGTTACATTGTGAAGGTTTCATTGTGTCGAATAGTATTGGGATTATTATTTAATGATTAAGATGTAAAATGTAAATAACTTCAATGGTTTGTTATTGACGACCTAATTTTAAGGAAAAGTTCAATAAATTCACTTGGTATTGTTTGCTTGAATTTTCACATTGATGTTTAATATCGGTCTCTTAATGGCATATGTGCATCCTGTGCGGATTGTCTCGATATTGCCTTAATTCACAAGCATTCTAGGTAAAGATGCATAGTGGTTAGCAGTGGAATTCAGGACATGTGTTTCGTCAATTGCAGTTCTAAACATCAATAGGAAGATTCTAGTAAAACAACACCAAGTGGATTTAAACTTCACCTGATTGTACAAGCAAGTGGTTGACCGGACTTAGTAGCTAAGTTGACATTTTGGTGGCGTTTGAAGCGAACGTCATTGGGTTCGAGTGCCGGAGTAAACATCAACTCTATGATGCAGGTGCACCCAACTGATGAGTCTTAAATAGAACGAAATATGCATTCTGGATTCCCCTGTTAGTTACCACCCATCTTTACTTGTTAATCTAGTAAATTGAAACAGATAGGAAAAAATGTGTGTTCAACAATGAATGAGTAAATATATTTCTATAGTTAATATATAACTCAGAAATTTATACATACTACATATGAACTCCTAGTGATTTAAAACAATCAGTGTATGATTGTGGATATTGTTGAATTTTGAGTAAGATCATGAATAAACCAATTTCAGAGCACCATTGAAAACCTGGAAGTACTGGATGGCTGTTTCGTCCTAATATTGAACATCTCAACAGTAGGTATTTACGATGTTACGTACGGGACTCGAAATCTCAACCTGTGGTATGGTGCGCCAACGCTTAACTTCTATCCAACTATGTCAATGTACTACTCCAAATTCGAATCCAGTCTGTGGGGTCGTAGGTACACACTGCTGAAGAGTCACATACTAGGATGAAACAGACATTCAATGCTTCCAGGCTTTCAATGATGGTCTAACATTGACCGATTCATAATTTCGATTTAAAATAATTTGAAAATGATACGTGTATTGATTCATTGTATCTCTTACAACATAATAGTACAATAATGGAATCAATTATTAGTTGAAAGCTTCTTATGTATGTTATTATTACTATTTATGTTGTCGATTTGATTTAATAATCGTTGCTAAGTATCCTATTTGGGCTACAATTTCATATTGAATAAGTTTTCTTCATTTATACGTTATAATAGTCATTATTTAATATAATATGAATAAATACATGTTATTATTTTTTTATTGAGATCCTGAACCGATTGATTTTAGACCACCATTGAAAACCTGGGAGCACTGGATGGCCGTTTCGTTCTATTGTGGGACTCTTCAGCAGTGCGCATCCACAATCCCACTCTCTGGATTCGAACCCAGGGCCTTCAGTCTCGCGCACGAACGCTTAACCTATTAGACCACTGAGCCGGCATTCAATGGCCATCCAGTGCTTCCAGGTTTTCAATGGTGGTCTAACAACAGTCAGTTCATAACCTCAATAAAAAAAAACTTAACAATCTCCATAACCCCTAAACTGATATTTGTTATTAGTTGATTTCATAGTGTTTTTACAAAAAAATTTACCATCTTTCCAACTAGCAACAAAAACCCCCCACTTCTGTGGATATATATGTTACGTAACTTGTTTTTCATTCATGTTAAAGGTTATACATGACAGCTTTTGTTTGTATATGTCTATAAATGTATTCATATTTATATGTTTAGTAGAATTTAGGTGAATTTAGAAATAATTAGTTGAATGAATTCAAGAAGTAGTAGGTCATTAGTGTCATTGATGATCCATGGTTGGTGTGTATTGTTTCGTTTTTTTAGTTATCAAGTAACGTTATTGTTAGATTGTTCAACATTGTCAACGAATAAAACAATGTTCAATTATGTATTCTAATGGAAATGACCTTATATGACATAATAGGATTGTTTAGAAAAGCATTAACTTTTTACTTCTTTTATTAGAATGGGACATTTTGTAATTTGTGACATTTTGTAGTGTAATGTGATTGCCACTTCTCCTTATACTTTACAGTATTCATTACTTTGTTGGTTCATTTAATTGTTTAATAAGTATACAAAATGAACTTTTAAAGATTATTAACTATAAAGTGTTTATAGAAATGCTCCAACTCAGCATATTATTTGTACTTCTATCATCATCATCATCATCATCATCATCATCATCATCATCATCATCATCATCATCATCATCATCATCATCATCATCATCATCATCATCATCATCATCATCATCATCATCATCATCATCATCATCATCATCATCATCATCATCATCATCATCATCATCATCATCATCATCATCATCATCATCATCATCATCATCATCATCATCATCATCATCATCATCATCATCATCATCATCATCATCATCATCATCATCATCATCATCATCATCATCATCATCATCATCATCATCATCATCATCATCATCATCATCATCATCATCATCATCATCATCATCATCATCATCATCATCATCATCATCATCATCATCATCATCATCATCATCATCATCATCATCATCATCATCATCATCATCATCATCATCATCATCATCATCATCATCATCATCATCATCATCATCATCATCATCATCATCATCATCATCATCATCATCATCATCATCATCATCATCATCATCATCATCATCATCATCATCATCATCATCATCATCATCATCATCATCATCATCATCATCATCATCATCATCATCATCATCATCATCATCATCATCATCATCATCATCATCATCATCATCATCATCATCATCATCATCATCATCATCATCATCATCATCATCATCATCATCATCATCATCATCATCATCATCATCATCATCATCATCATCATCATCATCATCCATCATCATCATCCAAACATCATCATCGTCATTGTCATCGTCATTGTCATCGCCGTCTCACTTGCTTAGTCCAAACAATTAATCTGATAATATTTTCAAGCTGACAGACAATTTAAAGCTCATGATCATTAAACTTTCTACTATATCATCATTATACTAGACAATTGTCGAGATCCTAACGATTAATAGTTATTTTATTTGTGTGACTTTCATAGATAGAAAATAAAAATCAAAAATCATAGTGAATCAACCGGATAAGTAATTTTTAAACCAAATAAAAACGGTAGGGATTTTTAAATCTTGTTCTTCACTATCTTCTTCATTATTATGTTAAATGTGGGGAATTCAAGCATGGTAACATAAAAATTTATTTCATCTTTTTGTGTCAACCAAACGCCGATTTTCTATCTGGATGCTTGATGATGAATTGTATTCAGAAAATACGATTCTACAAAAGTATGAAATAAGACAGAGGGAGCTAGAAACCCTTATCTTTGAAGAGTTCCAAGGATATTTAGAACAATTGTGGACAAGAGATGAAACCTAAATAAAGAATTACTTTGAATAATTGTAAAATGATGTATATTAAACTCTTTGAAATCGCGAGAAATCATCAAAATTTACGTCGTTGTTGTCAATATGGATAGAATCTGTTTACCGTGTTGTTCAGAAAGTGATTATCCTCCAGAAGAATCCAAACACTAGGATTAATCAGATATTTAGTAGGAATCAGTGCTAAACGAATCTTATCGACCAAGTTAGAGTGCTATAATCAATCTAAGTGATTTAACTACAGTTAGTTTAACATTTCAGTCTTACAATAAATCAGTCACTTTTAATCTGAATGACACACTGGTAACGTATCCTACTGTAATACTTAGTAATATGGGTTTTAATCTTATCGATCAAAACAATAGATACACCTTGTGTAAAAATGTGAACTAGGACGAGACCTAACCTTCATCTAACAAAAAACACATCAAAAACACATTTAATCTACTAACTTGATTTCAACTTGTTCGATAATATTTTATAGAACACCAAAGACTAGACATATATCACATGTTATAGTATTATCATACAATCAAAACTTGTTGAGATAAGATGTTGGTTGGAGGTAGTCAACAGGAAACCCTAAACTTATGTTTTGTTCTACTTGGCACTTGTCAGAAAGGTGTACCTGTAATCTTATGGAGACTGATGGATTCCATCCCGTGTCACAAAACGTGACTACTGTTACCTTTAGTTTACAGAATATTGTATTCTTACATACATTTTTAAAAAGAAGTAAACAGAATGTATAGAGTAGTCTATTATTATGCGATAAAATGGTTCATTATTATATTCGAAACAAATTTGACATATATATATATATATACTAATGAACCTTAAAGAACTTCAATTTGATTGGTCAGAATTATTGAATATATTTATATGTGTGTAGGTAGCTAATATTAACTTCATTCCTATTGGTTAATATAAAATAATAATCTAAGTGTTACCATGGTAAATTATCTGATGGATAGATGATGGCGGTTAAGTTTTTTTTATTAAAAGTTCAACAATGTCAACAGTTTTAATATTAAAAGATTATTGATTTTTCATTTATTATATTGGAAAGGTATTTTAATATGATATTACTAACTAATTCAATATAGTGTAGATAGTTTAATACATAGTAAGGGATTGTTTTAAGTACCTTTATAGTTTTATATGAAGATCTTAGTGAGTATGAAGAGTTCACCTAGCGGAGTTAGAAAACCCTCATTCCAAACTAATGATGCACATAGGCTCTAGGATCCTGATGGAAACAAATGGCGTATGAACCTATTGTTGGTCACCAGTAATCATGGAACTGCATCTCCTCATGTTGCTTCACTACTGCCTTGTGGATTAGACCTTTATATTGAAGGCTTCGGGTGTGACCTCCTAAGAAAACTATCTGGTTTGGTTTGGGCACCCGGGCGGTATCCCAGCTCTCACAAAAATCGAATGATTTATGTGGCACATATCTATTTGGTGCCTCCTTGTACCAATATTTATATGTTTAAATAAATAAACAATAATGAAAATCTGTGTAGATGCACGTATGAGTTTGTGAATTTACAAACTATATAGTGTTGTATTTTTTCTATTAGTTCAAACAAATAGTAAGTACGTTTTAACAATTTTAAAAAAATAAGCAACCAACAGAAAATACTTTAACTATTACAATAGGAACGATGTCAGTCAGTTAGTCAGTCAACAACATAGAACTTCGTACATGCGTACATCAGTTCGAGTTGCCATACCATATTATTACACAAATACGATTGTCGATTCAAATCCCGTAGTGGTAGAGGTAATCAAAGTATAAACGGTAATCGGAAAGATTAGGGTTTGAAGATGTTATTAAGGGAGTATAATCCAGTGAAATAAATTTTGAAAGAAAAAAAAAGAGACATCAAGAATTCAGAAGATTAGAATTTGGGCGAACACAGAGAGTGGATGTACCTGAGCCATTGCATCAACATCAACTTTGAAATGTAGGTACATCTAAATTACGAATCTTGAATAGAATCAAATGAACGCCTTTAATTCCAATGTTAGCCACTATCGAATTGACTTTAAATCCTACTGCTTAATGATAATATCCAGAAATTCTACTCAAAATGAACGTATACTAAAATGAGACTGATCAGTTTAAGTCGTTAACAATAATGGGAAGATTGGAATCACTACAAAATGATATTTTATCCATTTGAATAGATATTCAACTGAAATGTTTTCATTATCAATCTAAACGAAATATATTCATATTATTCATTAGATAAATGATTAAAATTGGAAAATGTGTATCCAAAGGAACAAGATCAAAGATTTAAGGTTCCTCATTGATAGATACTGACTGGTTATGAGTATTGAATTAGAATAGGACAACTATCAAGTACTATATGGTTTCCATCTTCTAACTGAATTAATCTATAAAAATTCATATCATCAAAAGAAGGGGTTTTGTGGAGAGTTTAGTAATTTCAATTGGATTGGTTGAAATTAGACATGAACACCATTGGATGCTGGACGGCTCAGTGGCCTAATGGTTAGGCGATCGCAGTTGAGAATGATAGGTCCTGTGTTCGAATCGCGCGGGGAGCGGGGTAGTGGATGCGCACTGATGAGGAGTGCCACAATAGGTTTTCCATGGTGGTCTAACACCAATTAACTCATGAGTTCAACTCTCATTAAGTTAATATAGAAATATTCAATTCTCATGCATTATACATCAAACGAAAGACAGTTTCACTTTTAAAGATTTTGCTACTTTACGGTCATATATTTCATAGAATGTACTTAATGTAAACTTAGTTCTCATAATCTTCTGTATTACTTACTTTCACAAATGATTATAAACTCGTAAAATCCAACTATAAAATGGTTGAAGTCAGTAATGATCGACTTTGCATTGATTTATTCACAATAAGATGTTATGAAATGAATTCTATTCAGTTAGAGAAGATATATTTACTGTTGTCCTAATTCTGTCTCTCAGTTTACCCTTAATCATTGTCTTTTCTTACGCCTGTTACCCCTCGTCCAGTAGCATAGGCCGTCCACTACATCTAACCCTATCCTGGGCAACCTATTCCACATGTTTCTAATTGCTTCCATTTCCTGACGTAGCATATTCTTCAGCCTTCCTCTTTTCCGCTTCCTTTCAGTATTCTAAGTTAGAGCTTGCCTCGTGATGCAATTTGGTGATTTCCTCAATGTATATCCTACCCACATCCAACATGCTTTCCTAATTTCCACTTCAGTTAGAATCTAGTTTGTTCTCTCCTACAGAAGGCCAATGGACATTGATTATCTTTTGTACCATTTTGATGATGTTTGTAGTAGTTCGTCACGTTGCAGCTCTATACAGTTAAACTATTTTGACGTTTGTATTAAACACCCCGACTTTGATATTGTTTGACAGACGGTTGTTTTGAGTTCCATATGTTCTTCAATTGTAGGAATGAGGGTCTTTACTGAAGGGACGTAAAATTAAAAAAAGGGATTTCGGACACTATTTAGAGTTTAAGGAACTGTTCATCGTCGCTCATAATAAATTAATTCAAATACATATTTACCGAAAGAGTAGATTACCATCTAGTAAACACCAGTCTCTTTTCAAGTTTCTATAATCGAATTAATTTGTGAAGATTGCTAAATTTAGTTGAAATTACCAACTGAACTAAGTCAAAAAACTATTAAGAACCTAAAAGCATTGGACAGCTGTTTCTTCCAGTATGAGACTATTCAATAATACAGGTTGGTTAGATTTAGACACGCGCGCTATCGGATTCCGTCTCAATGATGTGTAGATTAAGCGTTCGTACTCAAAATCGGATGTTTTCTGTTCTATCTCCTACATGGTTGTGAGTGTGAGCTTTTGAAAAGTCATACGCCAGGACAGAACAACTGTTGAATGTTTCCAAGTTTTCAGTCATTACCGAACTCCGGTCGGTTATTGTTTTCATTTCGTTTATTGATTAGAATTTTTAGTATAAAGTGGTGAATTCAATAAAATTTAACAAAAGAATTATCATATATGCATAATATGTGGATATTCATTATAGACAGACGGTTGATAACTTCAGATCAATTTAAATCAGCAAGCAAAGTTGGAAACAATGGAGCTAAGATATATCGGGAATTAAATGATAATCACCGATAGCTATCAAGGATCGTCGAACTATCACAATTGATTGATCACTGAGTGGTGATCAATGTCATGCGTGTCAAGTCTTTATTTAGTGCAGATCGAATGCTATCGACCATTTTGAAATGTGGCCACCCTCTATCTTTCTATCCACACATTTATCTATCTATCCACACATCTATCTATCTATCCACACATCTATCTATCTATCTATCCATCTATCCATCTATCTATCTATCTATCTCTCAATCTATCTATCTATCTATTTATTTATTTATTTATCTATCTATCTATCTATCTCTCAATCTATCTATCTATTTATCTATCTCTCAATCTATCTATCTATCTATCTATCCATCTATCTATCTATCTATCCATCTATCTATCTATCTCTCAATCTA